CCCCAGCTCCCTTCCCTCTTTTTTTTTTTCCCTTTCTGCTGCCCGTGCCAGCTGGCTCCCGCTGCCGAATTCACTCCCGGCCCGGGCGTTTATCATGGAAACGCTGTGACGGCACCTGCAGCCGCGCCGCGCCCAGGACAGCGCGGCCGCTCGGGAGCGGGCGCGCAGAACAAGGTAAAAAGCGATTTACCTGGGTCCGGAGGTGGTTGCTTTGGGGTTTTTTGGCCCCCAGTGACCAAATCTGTGCCCTCAAAACAGAGAACATGTCAAGCAGCCCCTCTGGCACAAGCCGGCGAGCAAGCGCATGCACACGTACACACGCGCACACAAAATCCGGCTCTTGGAGCTTGAGGGGGGGCTGCAAAAACCTTATCTGGCATCAGCATCTCCCCGTCTCGGCTCCTGCAACACCCTGATTCGAAATCTCTGTGCTCGGCTCTTCCTCGTGCCTTGGTGTTCTCAAGACATTCAGGGAAGTTCGACACCTTCCGCTAAACGAGGCCGGCAGGTAACGGGAGACGTGTGCCCAAACCCTCTGCGGCGCACGCGAGGCTCAGCTGAGCGCGGATTTGCCAGCACAACGTTTCCTGGGATCATTCACAGTGCCTAGACTAGTCCTGCTGCCAAATTGCAATGTTATGGCATAGAATTTGGCTGTGTTTTAAAAGAACAAGCGCTTAGACTTGGGCTGTTGTGGCATCCCTTAAGCACAGTGCACTGGGTACGGATGTATTTGATGTTAAAGGACAGCTGTGCTTGTTCTCTATCTAGAAAGTAAAACTTTGGGATTATTCTGCGAAAAAAATAAGCAGTCTGTAATGAATATTTGAAGTGTTAATATGGCAGGATACATTAAAACCAGGTTTTCACAGGGGACTAAAAGCGCTTGTCTGAGTCTCTAGAATGTGGGGCTTTGCTGCCAAAAGGTCGCAGGACTTGGCAAGACTGGTCATTCTGTGTTATCGTTTAACCATTAAGTGTCAAAGCCCACATTTTAGGAGCAGAAAAAATGTGTTATCTGTTTTTATGGTGAATTTGAGATTGGAAAACGTAGCATCCTGCAGTGTTCACCATGCAACACTGCTGAGCAGGAACATACTGGAGTTTGCTGTTGCAATTCGAGCAGCTGCGCTTTTCTGCTTAGAATTTGGGCAGGTCATGGAGAAAGTAGGAGTGTCCCATGCGGGAGCCTGCTTTTACTGTATTGCTGCAGTGAATTTCAACAAGATTGGGGTTTTGAGATGCACTCAGAGCTCCTCATTTCTCCTCCGTTTATCTAGCTGGATTCAGGAGCAAAATGTTGAGGTCACAAAAGATCTCTGTAGTAGACGTGGGGCTTTGCAGCACTAATGTACCAGGAGCTACTTTTTCTTTTTTTTCTTCTGCATTTTTTTGTTCATTTTCTGCTTGCATTAGAATCTCTTTAAGCATTAGAATATGGTGATTTGGTAGTAAAATTGGACTGGCACACACGTGCGCCTGCAATCTGCCCTGAGCACGGCCCATCCGAGCAGCCCTGCACAGTGTCCCCAACACCTGCAGGGCTCTCAGCAACATGCAGCTTAAAGCTGCAAGCATAGAACAAGTCCTGCACGTTGCTCTCATCTCGCAGTGTGCGTGTGTCTCTTGTGCAGGAGTGACACTAACGCGGAGCTTTCTGGTGAGCCAGGATCGTGTCCTGGAATCGGTCCATGGGGCAGCATTTGTTGTCACCCTTGCCTCTGTTTACTCGTACCTTGGAAATGTGTTTGTGATAACGACTGATGCTGCCTGTGAAGGGGCCGTTCCGGCCTGGCCTGTCTTGGCAGCAATTAACAGATCCATGTAGGATGGAAAGAACAGCATGTTAGGGGATTGCAACAGAAATAAGTCACAGAGATGATACTGATTCCATTACACTGCAAATGCATGCATATAATAACCACCATTGTGGGAGGAGGAATAGGGATTAAAAAAAAAAGAATAGCTGCAGCTTTTTATTTAGGAACCAAGACATGGTTTCTCAGCATACCAGTCATGTTTTACAATCCTTTCAATTAAAAATATAGGATATAACAGAATAACCCATTTCCTCCACATGTTTTGCTGCCTTTTTATTTTGCTTTTTGAATACAGGAAAATTCTCAGGCTGCGACTGTCTGGGAGCCTCCAGAAATGGAAGGCCAGGAGGTAGGTTGATACTGCTGTCTGCGGGGCTTTGGGAAAACATAGTCTGGTCCGTAAAGTTTGTGAAGGTTTCATTTTTTTTTCCCCAATTAAATGGGAAAAATTCCCCAATTTGTTGCAAAATTATGAAGTCTTAGTACAGATTCAGAAACTTGCATATTCCTAGAGTATAAGGCTTAAAGGGTTTCTTTAGTCTGGGTTTGGGATCTTGTATAACCCAGCCCATCAGCTTAATTGGAATTAATTCCTGTTTATAGTAGAATGTACTTCCTAGGTGGCAGAGGGGAGGAGACCATAACATATCCAGGGATATTTTAGTGATAGCACATGATGAAAATCCACCATCATATCTGGTAAAGTGTTCGAGTCACTTATCGTCTCCCACTAGCTTTTTTTTTTTTTTTTTTTTTTTTTTTTTTAAAAAAAAAGCCTTTTATGCAACTCTGCCTCTGGCTAGCTGCATTTTGAATTTTTCATTTGTTACATCCTTGTCTGCTTGCTGAAGACCCCTTAATTATCCCAAATCTCTGTAAAGAGAGCACTCATGGACTGCTACCATACAGGTATAAACAAAATACTCATTTGACACTGCCCTAACCAACTTCAAATGCTCTGTTTGTCCCGTACTGTTGTGCAGGACACCAGAGCAGCCCTTGGTTCCTGCATGGTCCTAAAGCCATCACATTATCTGTCTGCTGGCAGGGAAAAAAACACCAAGCCACTGCATAGGCACATAAAATACAGCACAGATCATTACCCTTACTGCCTGTGCACATCATGCTGTTGTCCTTCTGTGTGAGTAGGCATCAAGAGGCAGAGTTATGGCTAGAAATGTGGAGATCATTTTCTTTCATGGCATCATATCTGCAGGATATATACTCAACTACTTTATGTATCCTTATCAGTTTGTCTGTATCTATTTCTTTTTATATAAAAAGCAAAATGAAAAGTAAAGTGTTTGAGCAAGACTCAAAAACACCCACCAGAAGTCTTGCAGCATGAAGAAAAGAACGAAGGAAGGATTGAAGCAGAAGTCTTGGTGAGATAGGGTGCAGGCCAGGACTTAAGCTGTACTCCTCATGAGAAAGTATGAAGGTAGCCAGGGTGCTGGTAATGGGTTAGGAGGGTTTTATGCATATAATATAAATAGATGCCAATGATCATTTCTGCTGAACACCGCATGACAACCGGCGTGATGAAACAACAGATATTTACAGATTTTGGTGTTTAGTTTGGTGGTCTCATGTGTTCCTTACTGTGTGACCCTGAACTGCATTTGGTCCCTACCAAATGCCAGCTCTTAGGGCATCTAATGTGATATAATCTTCATTACTGCTCAAAGTACCCTGTATTGCTGCAAAGGGATGTTTTTCTGTATGCTTGTGTGTGTGCGTGCGCATGTGCCTATTTGTATCCGAGGCTTTCTCCTCCCATGAGTACATATGTTTTCGGAATCTTTGCTGTTCAGTTTCTAGATTTAACAGTATGCAGCATGGCAAACATTGTAATTTGCAATCCAAGGTTTTAGCTCAGCCGGTGCACTGCAAGTGTGGTGTAAAGGCGAGGGTGACAGAGGCGAATCCGACTTTCCCTGTCTCCACTTGGGAAGGGGAAAGGCAAGGGCTGAGGGAGCGCCAGGTGGGACAGAGGTGTCAGGCTCTTCCCTGGCACCCGTCCCCGCTAGCGAGCAGGCTGCGGCCTATGAGGCAGAGGAGGGAGGGCGGCTCGTGGTGACAGTTCCATGGGAGCTGGTGGATGCACTAGTGCTGGGCCGCGGGGTGCGGGACGTCTCCTCGGGCCCGCGTGGTAGGAGACAAGCGTGGCCTTTGCTGTTGCCTGGCGTGAATTTCCTTGGTTTCCAGACATGCTCTTAGTGCCATCTCCCTCAGCCGTTCAAACAGAGCCATGGGCTACTTCAGGATACTGTTCAAGTGACACTTCATGACTTGCTTTTCCACAAATACAGGAATTTTATGAACTATGACTTAAACCCAACATTTACACTAGTTCTTCCCTCATGTCCGCTTTCTGCAAGGGCTGACAGCCTGGACAGGGACACACACTGCTGAGACCTGTTATCTAACTTCTGGATAATTTTTTGCAAAAAGACTTCTCTGTGATTTGTTTCAGTGTATCTAGAGTAATCTCTTTTGTAGCAAAGGCACAGCAGGATTTTACGCTGGTGGTACAAAACACAGCAGTAAAACTATCAGACATTTTGTATCATTAATGTGGAATTCTGCTTTTTTTTTTTTCTTCTTTTTAATAGTAAGCATACTTTGTAAGTAACAATGCCATTAAATTTTTTTTTCAACAGGAAAGGTGATTCAGCAGCTGTCCCTCAGAATATGTTCCAGGTAGCCTTTGCACTGGGGACACAGACAGGTTTCACACCAGATAATTAAGCA